TTTGGCAGCAGCATCCCCACCAGGATGAATCATTGCAAACATAAAGAGGAACACATTGAAACCAGGAGAAGAGACCAGATTCAGAGAGTGACTCCATTTGGGCAGCTGCATTTTATTTTTATTTCCTTTTTCATTTTTTCCTGAGGTTTGCTGGCACCTTGCTAACCACAGATACACTGATTTAAATTCTCCATCACCGAGATGGGCTGGACACTGTAAAGAAGCCAGTCATTGTGTTTTGGCAGTTTATTTTACTTTATCACATTCCTCTGAACTGATAAAGGGTTAGACCTGGAATGGTGGATACTGGGAGGCTCCACTGAGCAGATCCTGGATCCTGAGCCTTAAAAATTACAGAACTTAGGAAGCTGTTAAAACAAAACTTGGCTGATGTGATTTTAGGAAGCTGAACTAGATCTGTCATAACTTCCCTCTAATTTTAGAACAAATACAATTCTGTGGGCTAATTAACCATCAATATCTAAATGTTGTTTTAGAGGGAAGGATGAAGCAGGTCCAGCAGCATCCACGGTGTACACCCCCTATATGCCAGCAACAAACTGACAGTATTAATGTCAACTCCCAAGAAATTCTGTGGAATAACATTTACAATTCTGGGTTTAAAAGGAGACTTTGCATGTCTTTACATTTTAGTCACACAGTGGGAGAATGGGTTGGAGGGAGCAGCACTTGCTGCTGTCTACCAGTATTTGGTGTGGCTCCTACAAGCCAATCTGTGCTTTAGTAAGGAGTATTTTTAGAATGGAATTTTGACTGTGCATAGTCTGTAATAAAGAGAAACGAATCCTGGTGAGGGATTCTCTGTGTCTGTGCCCATGTGAGCCTTCACATTCAGCATCATCCGAAGTTCAGGAAATAATCCTTCCTTTTGACAGGCAGAATTGGAACCACAGAGGGGCATTGACTGGGACAAACACAGCAGTTGTTCAAAAACTCTCTCTCAATTATCGTTGCAGTTTTGTTTGCAGGAATTGTGCCTGCCTGCAAAATAGGATTTGCAAAAACTCTGAGCCAGATTTTAATTCAATAGAAATCAGAGTGGAGGTAACCATGGTAGAATCACAGCTTTTTATTCCAGTAGAAAGTGTTGAAAGAGTTCCACAGCCAAGCCAAACCATTTGTTTGTTGTTTTGTAGTCAACGTTTTACAGCCTTCTTTTAGTACAAGCTGTTCATTTAAAAGAAGGGGGAAACTGGTCAGGGCTTGAGCTCCAGTGGTTTTCTGCTTCCCTTGAATAGGAAAGTAGCTTTATCTCCCCTTAGAGGCCTTCAGATAGTCTGACAAAAGTTACAAAATACTTTAGATTTGAGGTGAAGGACTAGAGAAATCTGTGCTGTTATATTGGGAATAAATGTTGACATTGCTCTTCCTGTATCATCCCAAAATAATAAGATGTTTCCTGAAAGGAGAGTCCACTGAGCTGCACTGAGTTTGAGTTTGAATGAGTTTGGGTCTTCTGAGTTTGAATGCTGTGGGGACCCACCAGAGATAAATTTACAATTTATTTATAAATTCATTTCTCAGTCCTGTTGACTCTGAGGAAAAAGCCTGAAGTTCAACTCCTAGAAAATGTTTACCCCTGGATCCCATTTGGGATTTGAGGAGCAGTCAGTGAAAGACAGTTCAGGTACCAGCACTGTTGAATGAAGTAGGAGCAGGTGGGATCACATTTCTTCATTTCTTTTTAGCTTTGGTCAAACAATCCATTAGGATTTGTGCCTCACAGGCTCCACAGGAGCGAGCTGGGGATGTCCTGGGCAGAGAGATGTTGGTAGGAACTTTCTGACCTGGCTCTTGAGGAAAAATGAGCATCTGGGGGCTCCTTTGCAGTGGCCAGAGATTTTACGTAAATGCCTGGGCTGAGATATTTGGGGATTAATGGGTGTGAGGAGCAGGGCCAGCCAAAGGCAAGGAACAGGGATTTCTGGAATAATACATCCCAAATGGAGCTTGGCCGGGCTGCTATTGCCTTTTTGGCTTCTGTGAGGGAGGAAATTTTAATCCCTTAAATCATGGTGGGGAGGTTGGAACGAGATGATATTTTAGGTCCCTTCCAAACCAAACCATTCTGTGATTCTACGAAATTCAGCAGCTCATTTTTAAGATGTTTCTCGAACTGTCATTTATTGCTGTTCACTTTCTTTTTTACACATTTTTTTTCTGGGACAAAACTGTAATTAAATGGCATTGGGGAGAGGGGTTCAGCCATGGTTTACTCAGTGCTGTTCTACAAAACAAAGCAAAGTTATTTTTTAAACTCCCATCTCTCATATTTCCTGTCCTGATACCCTTTTGGTGCTTGAAAATGTAAGATGTCCTACTTCTGGTGGTACCTCTGTTGACTTTTTCTTTAGCTTTGACTTATCCTTCAGCATTTCTTTGTGTGGTTTTCCTGATCAGCAATTTTCTAATATTGCAGAGAGAAAGTCCCCAAAATCTTGGCACTTGTGGAAGAGATTCTGCTTTAGAGCCCTGAGCTACAGGGCGGGGAAAAGCTTCCAAATAATCTGACATATCAATGCTTTCAGTTATTAAATCTGAATTCCCGGGATATGTCTCTAATCCTGATATAATCAGCTTGCACGTGTGATTATTATTATTTTGTAACAGTAATTAAGGACAGGCATAGCAGAAGTGCTTCAGATTCATGGAATTTGCTAAAGAAAATTTAATTTTGGTGCTCTTACCACACTACTAAAGCTCCATGATTTTAGGTGTCGATTTTCAGTTTGCATCTACCAGCTTGTTTCATGCTAAAAACCTCCTTTTTGGGGCTAATTACAGCTTTGTTTATGTGGTTTTTAACAAAAACACAACTGGAATGACTTTCACCTGCTTCTTCTGGTCTGTTGAAGGGCAGTGGGGTTGAAAATGGTAATGGCACATACAGGCAGCAACAGGGAGAGGTTGATGGACAGCACTAAGTGTGGCAGAGGAGACCATGGAATAAACAGGAATTATCAAAGTCCTCTCTGAATTCTTCTGAGTCTGCATTGCTCACTCATGTGCTAATCAGACTTAAAATTTGGGGCATCATTCCTTTGTAGCACCTTTGGTCTTCACTGACTGAACAGTATCAGACTGATAACTAGAAAAGTGATTTTTTGGGGGGGGTTAAAGGAAAATATATGTAGAATTTTGTTTGTTATTCTTCTTTGCTGATCAACAAAACACCAAAGTTTCAGGAAATTGTATCTACAACTATAATAAGCTTCAAAAAGGGATAATAAAAAGTATCAGGTGTTGACAGTGTGTTGTGAAAGCAGCTGGCTGGTCCTAAATCTAATTCCTGGGGTTTTATGGTGTGGTAGTAAAGAGGAGAGCAGACAGCACTTACCCACCGAGCTGGAATTAAATCCAGATTTGTTTCAGCAGGGCATTAATAGGGTTCCTGCAAGAGAGAATCTCTGCCTTTGGGTCTGTTACTGGGTGGCAAATCATCTGGACAGGGAGTTTTTTGAGCTGTGACAATATGTTACAACTCAGATTTTCCCAAATTAAATTCATTATACCCATTAACTGGTTTTCATGTGAGATGTACCATCAATTATCTTTTTTATATTTTTTTTGAGAAGCCTTTTACTGTAACTAAAGGGGCTTTCTTTGCCTTTATTCCTCGTGTCTGTGTGGTTCACGTGCCTCTGCTATAATTACTCATCACTAAATGAAAAAGTCCAGCTAGCTTTGCTGAGTTTCCCCTCTGGAAAATACATTTTGAAAGGTCAGTTCCTCACTTCTCTGTAAAGACACTAAAGACAGAATTTTGACCAAAAAATATCTATTTCACAAAAAAAAAAAAAAAAAAAAAAAGGAGGGGAGCTAGCAGCAATGTGTCACATTATGAGCTTGCTGCTTCCTTAAAAAGGTGTTTTAAATTCCTTAGTTATGGCTTTCCATAGAGTAAAACCCATTTGCAGGTGTTCAGAATGTTTTCTGAAAGTGCAAAGGATTTAAGGAGAACAATCAAAGCAGAAATATTCTGTACTGACCCTGCCCAGCCCCAGAGGACCCCAAAGCACAGGTTTCTGGGTTCCCTGACTGACCACGTTGTACTGGGTATTTTCTGACCTTCTACATAATTTTCTGTTGTTAAATTGCTTAATTTCAATATATTTTCTATATATTTGGGCACTTTCTTTATAGGAACTTTATAGTTCAGCAAGTGGATTCTTTAGCAGAGTGGTCATGTGGCATGAGGAGCAAATAGGAAAGGTTTGATCATAGAAGTCAGTGAAATTCTTTGTGCATTTCTGAGCTATTTACTCATATTTGGGGTAAATTGAAGCCAACTTTGCCCCTCAGCAGCTGGCCATGTCCATTTTAACTTTAGCCTTCTTTAAGGTAGAATTATTTGAATTGCTACACCAATATACTCCCAAATCCAGTTCATGACATGAACATCTCTAATCATTGCTGTATTTTTGTCCTCGCTCTTCCCAGTTTTTAAACTTCTGAAAATAGCTCAGGAAAAATTCTCAGGAGCCAGGAGGGAACATTAAAATGGTGTATTTACTGTAAAATATATAGGTCCTACAATAACAGGAGGTGAGAGGGGTGTAACACTGATAAATAATAACAGAGGGATCAATTGGTCATTTTTAGCTGGGATCCCATTTTAGTCAATCATCTTAATTTGGTACCTGGGATCCAAAGAAAACTGAGGATGGAAGAAAAGAAGTGGAAGCTTAATCAGAGTATTATTTTAGGAAACAGGATTAGCAGGGATGCAGAGATGTGTATCCTCACAGGGATAACTGGAAAGCACTTATTTCATCCCATCAGGGAGACTGATCATGGAAAAATCATTTAAAAATTTAAAATACAGATCAAATGTACATTAATCTATTACTTTATGCAGATGGTCAAAAAAAATCTTAGTTTTCTTTCTTAATTTTCTGGTCAGTGCCTAATTTGGGTTATCTGAATATACTTTAAATGAACAGAATACTGAAATCCATTTTTTCTGATCACTGTTTCAGATTTTTGCTATGGAAGGAGACCATTTCTTGATCCTGAACCAGAAAGTTCCTTGGAAAAGGTAAGTGGATTTATAATCGAAGACAACAGTTAAATTCAGATGTTATGAAAATATTAATGACATTTTAATGTCTTAATATCTAGTAAGAAAGTAGTTACAGAAGATAAAATAGTGTGTTACTTTTCTTTCCTCTACTGCAGACATACCACAAGTGTGTAAATAAGGTTATTTTAACAGGGTTTTTTTCAGAAAGGGGTTTTTTAAGAATTTCTACCTGATTAATAAGGTTGTGATCTCTTACCATTTTAAAATCTACATGTATTTCTGACAGAACTCTGCCATCCTTAGGAATTAGACATTTATAAATGCCCATATTTGGGATGATTTAGCAGAAATGCTTGCCTGGTGTGCTTTCTTATGCCCTGAACATCTGGCCTGATGTTCAAGCCCATTGGTTCTTTAATTCCAGTGTGTGTTTGTGACACTTAGAAAGGAGGAAACTTCATCTAGATTTTAGTGCCAATCATTTCAACTCCCCCCTGGCCTTGAATGGGGGATGATTAGTGATAGAAGAAAAAAATAATCTTGTGTTAATAAAAGTTGGGGTGGTTTTTAGGGACTGTCGTGTCACTAGAATGTGAGATGTGACATCACTGTCACCCTTGATTGTCCCCATCATTTGTGAAGCCACCATGGACACATCACTGCTGTTTGTGATGGTTTTGAGCTGAGACCTCCCAGAGCATTCCCAGTATTTGGTTTCTCTGGATAAGGTGGAGTCCTGTGGGAATTTCTTGCCCCCAGCATGCGCCGTGTCTGTGCAGAAGCAGCAAAGTGAAGTTTCTGTTTGGAAATTTGATAAATGGGTGAGCAGATGGCAGTTTGTACGTGTGATGAACTGATTTGAAGTGATTAAGACAAGTGTAAAATTGGATTTTGAGCATCTTAAAAAGTGCATGGCTCACTTACTTTAGATTTCATGCAAAATAACAGTAAGTTCTGTGACAATTTGGAAATTTGGCTGGAGGAAAGCTGTTAATAATCCTGGTGCTGTCTCACTTCTTGAAGAGTGGAAGTGGTGGCAAAAGCAAGGACTTACCAAAGCGTATTAGAACTTTTACCCAGCTGGAAACAGGAGTTTAAAAGGAACTTTCCTACTATTTATTGTTTAAAATTTTACTTCTAGTGTTATGTGAAAAACTAAATCATTTAAAGTGTTAGTTCTGGTGTTATGTGAAAAAATAGTGCAGAGAACGAGGATTCAGTCTGCTCGATAATTTATAGTTTTAAAGGTTAATTATTGTATATAAATATGACAATTTCATACCTGTGTGATTACAGGGGAAGTAATGGGTGGATTTGCAGTATTTAATCCAGTTTATTTGTTGGTTTTAGCATTACTTTTCTAACTCTCTGGACTTCTGAGTTCATTTAGAGTAGCCTGTTAAGAGCTTCAGCTGTTCACACCCATCACAACTTGCCTAAAGGATTGCTGTTTAATTAGGATTGAATTAAATGACATAAACCAGCTTCAACTCCTAAATATCACCATTTTTAATCCTTCAAGCCACTCTCATCAGGCTTAGAAAGGACTAGATGCACCTGCAGCTCATTCACCTGTACTGGCACTTAAAATTCTGCCTCACGAGTGGCAGCGATTGCATATTCACCTCAGATCTGCTCCTGTATATTCATGATGGCTCCTCTCTGAACAAACAGTTCCAGCAGGATATTATCAAGGGGAATGCTGAAATAATATTGCACAGTCAACACAGATCTTAACTTGACCTTTTTTTTTCCCCAGCCCAGAAATATAAATGTAGCCGGTCTGCGGCTCGGAAAGTAAATTAGGCAAAGCAGGGAAACCTGCTGTTGGTACAAGTTTTCTGCTAATAATTTTCTAGTCTAAACAATCTCCTGTGATCCAGAACTCCCACTCCCATCTGGAGACCAGCCTGTGTGCCACACAGCTTCCCAGTTTAGGAACGGGACAGCCCGTGCCTGAGGCTCTGAGAGTCTCAGCGGAGCTGCTTGAGGGGACGTGGGCTCGGAGCTGAAAGGCTGCTGATGGAATCTAACCCCCCAAACTCTCTCAGAATTCCCAGGATTCAGTCACTAGGGACTGGATCTTCATTTTAATCGTGCAGTTAGACCCCACCATTCTAGTCTTTATAATACAAAGTGTAGAAATTCAGGTTTTTTTCAGGTTTTGGTGGTAATCACGTTACAGTTATCTGAATTAAAACATGGAAATGCTGATTGGAAGGGACCTCTGAGTCAGCCTCTGCTGCCTGAACACTCCTTAAACCAACACAAGGTCAGGTCAGACCTCGTCTGGTTGAATCTTGAAAACCTCCAAGGATGAGGATGAGTTGCCAGGCAGCATTTCTACACTAACAAGCCAAAAAAAACTCCACAAAAACCCCCAAACAAACTAAAAAGTGCTGCACAAATGTCTCAGTTAAATCACATTTTCACTTTCTATTTAAATAGATATCTATGGCCTTTGAAGGAATGTAGTGAAAGGGAAACTGGCAGGTTTTACATAAATAAATGCATTAAATCTTGTCTCTAAAATTCTGAAGAAACAAACAGATGATGAAATTGGTGTAGCCTGAAGTGCCAGGAAATGAAATAATGGTAAAATACACATATTTGAGAAAAAGATTTAATTTCATTGTGCTACCATCCCAGCCAAGGCAAAATAGAATTAAACTAATGATCATTTGGAACATGTTATTCTACATTTTGCTTATACAAATGGTGTTGACTGTGTGTTACACAACATTTACCTTATTCACAAATGGGAATTTTTAATAGAATGTTTTTATTTGGAGAAGATATTTGCATATGCACTCATAATTTTTTTTTTTTCTTCTGGAAGATAAATTATTCTCTTTAATACACAGGAGAAATAAGCTGCCTTCCCACCAGCTTCCATAGAAATGTAGTTCAAAACTCCTTGTGATGTAGAGGGAGATTTGCAGCTCCACAAAAAATAAGAGGCTATGATTTTTTTTTTCCTTTATTTAAAGCAGTTCTCTTTTTTTTTCCATTGCTTTTCTTACCTGTAACTTTATTTATTGAAAGTGCACTAATTTGGTTTCAAGGAAAAAGTGTGGTAAACAGATGGAAAAAAAAATATTGGTATCTTTTGCCACCACTAAGCATCTGCGAGCCAGAAGATATTTATACTTGTAAATAAGATAACATTTAAAAAATTCTCTTTTGAAAGCCAGGAAATGATTCTTAAATATGGAAAAAAAAATACCTTTGTAATGAGATGTATCTGTGCACGATGCATGGGATATTAGACACTAATTTATACAGCCCAAAGTGTGTTCACCTATTTTCAGTTTATGAGCACAGATATACTGGGAACAAAGCTCTACCTTCTGAGAAGATAAGTGCTTTTTAGAGATCTCTGGGGTCTCTAGGGTTTTAATTAGGGATTTTTATAGCTTTTGTATACGAGCTTCTAAGACCTTTGTACTTCAAAATAAAATTCAGATTTTTTTGTGTCCTCCCTTGATCAATTTTAAGGCCAACAATAAAGGTGGAAGAAACCCGTTTCTAAATACTAATGAGTACCTTTCTAAAAGGAGAAGGAACCTTCAGCAGTGTGTACGAGTAGTACCTTTAAAGGGATATTTTATAAATATATAAATAGTTCTAGAGCATTTGTAATTAAAGGAATCATTTAATTCTGCATCCAGATTTAGGCATTGACTGGTGAACACTGTGTTTTGGGACAAGTTGTTCCATGTAGGTCTTAGGATGAGAGTGATGTGCATTTATATCTATATATCCTGCTAAAATCTGGCCTGGTTTTTGTGCTGTTGATTGAATTGTTTTGGTTTCTTCTTGCTGAGGTGGTGATGGGTTTAAAAAAGCCAAACCTGCATAAGGACCTTGGCATTTAAGCCCTTTAAGAATAAATGAAGACACAACTTGCTCCCTGAATGGTTCCAGCAGCCTCCTGAGCCTCATCCCTCGTGGAGCAGCCCAGGCCCAGAGTGGAACATGGAGATGTAAATGTGTCAATATATGAACAGTGGTTTATGGGAAGGGTTCCTGCTCTCCTGCCCTTCCCACCCAGGGCACACTGGGATGTGCCTCTGGCTTGGGAACGCTCATCTGTGCTGGCAGCCCAGAGAGACAAGTGTGCCCTGGGCTCACGGCAAGGGTGGAGGTGAGGGGGGAATTCTGCCCCTCTGCCCCCTCAGGTGAGACTCCACCTGCAGAGCTGCCTCCAGCCCTGGGCTCCAGCACTGGAAGGACATGGGGCTGTTGGAGAGAGTCCAGAGGAGGCCCCGGAGATGCTCCAAGGGCTGGAGCCCCTCTGCTCTGGAACCAGGCTGGGAGAGCTGGGAATGTTCACCTGGAGAAGAGAAGGTGATACCTGAGAGCCCCTTGCAGGGCCTAAAGGGGCTCCAGGAGAGATGGAGAAGGACTTGGGACAAGGGATGGAGGGACAGGACACAGGGAATGGCTTCCCACTGCCAGAGGGCAGGGATGGATGGGATATTGGGAAGAAATCCTTCCCTGTGAGGGTGGGGAGGCCCTGGCACAGGTTGCCCAGAGAAGCTGTGGCTGCCCCTGGGTCCCTGGAAGTGTCCAAAGCCAGGTTGGACGGGGCTTGGAGCAACCTGGGCTAGTGGAAGATGTCCCTGCAGGGGGTGGAATGAGATGAGCTTTAAGGTCCCTTCCAGCCCAAACCATTCTATGATTCCATGGTCTCTCCATGAGAGCCTTCACCCACCTGAGCTCCTGGCAGCACGTGTCCCATGACACCTGCAGGCTCTGCCTCCAGTGCTCCCCTCTGGGGACCAAGAGCCCCTCAGTGTCACACAGGCTGTGGAGGAGCCCCCTGTGCCACCCAGTGCCCCCCTCTCCTGGACCCGCTGGGTGCTGGGGCAAAGGGGACCCGAATTGTCCCAGGTGGGGTGACTTTAACTCTCCTGAGTTTCAGTGGGTGCCCATTTAGATCCAGTCAGAGCTGAGGGCGATACACTGGGTTAAGCAGCTTGATAAGGGTTGAAATTCAGTGTCTCAGGGTATCATTATGTGCCACTGGAAGCTCTTTCTGGAGATGGAAGTGGAATGACGAGAGCTGGATTAGGTCATGTGCTAAATGACAGGTGAGTTTAATGGGTTCTGACTGACACAAGCAGAGCTGACACATCAGGGCTGCCTTTCTCAGCTCTGCACTTGATCTGATTATAGGCAAGAGATTATAAATTCTTTCTTTGCAGAGGAGAAGTGGCTCCAGGAGGTTGAAACCGTTAAAAGTGGTCTCCATCAAAGGCTTTAAGTGTTCAGGGCAACGCAACCACCCTTGTGTTTCCAGAGTAATTACAAAGCTAAAAACATATCAACAACCCTGCCCTTCACGCTGAGAATTCTTCTTATAACAAAGGCAAGTAGTCAAAAGGAATAAAGAAAAAGGAAAGGGGAAAAATTGGCTGTATTCCCAGATAACTGGAACTTCCAGAAACTGCCCAGCACTGAGAGAGACTCCAACAGCCAGAGCAGGGTGTGAGGAGAAACAAGGCCTGAAGGACAGAAGAGAGAATAAAGCAAACAGGCACCTCATAAAGAAGAATCCATTCCCTATGGATGGTGCTGAGGGCCTGGTTTGGGCTGAAAATTTCAGGGAATCACAATTAAAATGTAAATCACAACGGGATTTGTTTAACAGGACGAGGAAGGTTATTTGGAAGGTTGGGTGGAACTGTTCTGTTTTCACTGGTCTCTGAGACTGTTGGGGCACCTTTGGGTGCCACTGAAAGGTACCATTTTATTGAAGAGGGCTGTTGGAAGCAAAAGTGGAGGTTGGGATGGAGGTACCTGCTCAGCCTGGATGAAACCACCCCTTGGAACTGGGTGGTCAGTGTGGTAGTAGAACCACTTGCACATGAGCTCAGAAAGGGAGGAAAACTGTAGGCAGGAGAGCTGGTAAAGGATATTCTAACCTGGAAGGGACTGCAAAGGAAATATATATTTCCAAAAAAAAAAAAAAAAAAAAGAAAAATCCCAAGTTTAAAAAATAAAATAAAATAATTACAAGAGAGACATGGATACTTTAGTTTGATTATTCTGCTCTCTGATTTGTGGAGAAAAGGGATGCTCAGGCAGGTCAGCAGGACGTGGTGCCCTCCTGGCACCTCCTGTGACGTGGTGCCAAGCGTGCTCTGCTCCCAGCCCCACACACGGGCAGCTCTGCCGTCAGCAGCTTCTTTAGAGATTAGAAAGATGTAAAAGTTCACTTTGCTACAAATTATTTATGGTGCTCATTTTTCAGGGCTGTTCTGAAGTGCTGCCTTCAGCTGGGGCTCAGATGATAACTCTGTCAAAAGCTTTCTTAGTCAGCAAAATATTAATAAATACTTGACGGCGGATCACGTAACACATATATTATAAATATCATTTATCCCTGGAAAAGAGCACAAGTCACAGTCATTGTTGACAATTTTATTCAGAAAGGCTGTTGTGTTTTTTTTTTTCTTTTCACACTTCTGTGCATCATCTGCCAAAAGAAACCCCCCCAGACTGGGGAAGTTTGACTCATTGTGTGACGCAACAGAAAACAGATGGCAAACCCTTCACAGATTTTAGGGTTAGGCCATGTTGGGTGGAACCCCCACAGCAAAATTTGTGGCTTTTAAAAAATCAGTGACCTCATTTGGGAAACTGGGTGTTTTTCTCGCTCATTTCATACCTTACTTGAGGTGGTTTGGGGTGTTTTGAGGTGGATTTGAGGTGTCTGGAAGTGGTTTGGGGGGAACCTGGGGGGGTTTGAGGTGGGTTTAGAGGGGTTTGAGGTGGTTTGGGGGGATTTGAATTGGTTTGGGGGGGTTTTGAGGTGGGTTTGGAGGGGTTTGAGGTGGTTTGGGGGTATTTCAATTGGTTTTGGGGGGATTTGGGGGGTTTTGAGGTGGTTTGGGGGAGGCTGGAGGTGAAATTTTGGGGATTTGGGGGGGCTTGGAGGGATTTGGGAAGTGGTCCGAGGAGTTTGAGGTGGGTTTGGGAGGGTTTTGAGGTGGTTTGAGGAGGTTTTGAGGGGTCTGGGGATGATCTGGGGGGATTAAAATTACGTATGAGAAATAGGGGGTCATGGTGTTCTTCTCTTTAGTTTCTGTGTTTTGAATAAAAAGATTTCTTCAAGAATTTTAGTTTCAAAAAAATGATTCAAGATCCAACATTCCTACCATTCTTATGACAATTATTGTAGAATATTATTGCAGTTTTTGCAGTTTATGGTATATATTTGTGTCTTCCCTGTTAAAGCCTTGTATTTGTATACAAGTATATATGAATATATACAAATATGTCTTAAAGGTTGGACTTAATGATTTTATAATTCTGTGGTTCTAAATAAAATCTCTGACATATTGTGGAAAAAGGTTGAGATTACAGGATAAACTTATTATGGTAAAGAGGAGAAAAAACGGGGAAATAAGATACAAAAATTATGTAGTAACTTTGATTAGACTCAAAGGAGCTCCCTTCTTCCAAAAAGACTTTTACACAGAAAGATTTATAGCTGATTTATAGCTGAATTATCTGAATTCAGTTGTGAAATCAAGAGAAATGTGATACTTTCAGACACAAACCCAGGCCAGGAGTCTTTCTGAAAACAGAATATTGTAGTTTTATATTTTATATAAATATTATTCTCCCAGGTAGAAGCTGGATTTATTTCCACAGAAGTCTTTGCAGGGATGAAGCTGTTGGAAAGAAAAAAGTGAATGTGTTCACATGGGAATATCAGGACTTTTCTGAAAATATGGTTTTTTCTAGGTTGGGATTCATATGTGGGAAGATCTTTGTATGTGGTGCTGTTTGCTGGGGCAGGGGAACACCGAATTCCAAGATGCTGTGTCATGATCTGCCTGCTCTTCCTTGCTTTTGTGAGCTGGGAAGTTTGGGAAGCGTCGGCAATAATAACTCTTTGCTTTTCCTTTCTGTTTCCAACCTCAACTCTTTTTTAACCTGGCAGAAGTTGTGAGTGAGATGTACTGTGGGTGACCCAGGAGCCCTGCAGACGCTGTGTGTGATGTGCAGCTCCATCCCTGGTGCATCCCTGGTCGTTCCTGCCCTCACCTCTGTCCTCCTGCCCTGCCCTCCTCCGTCCTACCTGTCCCCTCCTGGCTCACACAGAGGTCACTGCATATGCTCCAAAGGGGCTGAAAATTCTTTAGCTGAGGACCTTCTGAAATCATGTTATTTTAATGACTCCATTTGGCTTTGGGCACATTTCTATCAGCTGGTGAGCACGTCCTGCAGCTCTTTTTGTTGACTGACAGGTGATATTGCAGCAGTCACTCAAGCGGCTGTTTTAAGATGCCTTGGATGATTTGTCTGTGCTGGGATGATTCATAGCTCCATTTTTGTTTCATAATAAAGAGAAAGTGAGAAGGATTCTGTTTTCTCCTGCGGTTCTCACTGCACTGGATTGCCCACCTGTATCTGTGATCTCTTCTATCCCATCTCAAAGTTCAGAAGAAAATAAGTGCAAAGTAGCACAAGGACTTTATAAAATAAATCTCTCTCATTCGTTTCTGGCTATTGACTTTCTCCTGCCTGCAAGTTGGCTTCAACACCTGGCTCTGTCTGGAGTGAATTTTTGGGATCTTAAAAGCAAATGTGGTGTAGAGCTGCCAAAATCTTGCTTTATCCAAACTTCTCAGTATTTGAACAGTTTTTTTTCTGTGCTGTGTCTCTGTTTTGTATTTGGTGCCACAGGATGGACCCTCCTTTGAGAAAACAGGATAACTCTGAGAGAATCTGAATGATTTAGGTTGGCAATAACCTTTAAGATCATCCAGTCCAACCTTTACCACTACCAAGGCCACCACATTCAGGTACATTGACTTTCTTCAGCTGGGAATGGGGAGACCCCACAAGAAGTGACACCAACAACATCCAAGAGATAACTGTGCTAATGGAATTTCTGGTCCAGAACAACCCATTAACTCTTAAAAAGTATCACTCTGTGTCAAGAAACAGCAAAGATAGTAAGAATGGTGATGGATGTGAGACATTACATACAATTTCACACTTCTTTGGGATCTGATTTATGGATGTTACTAATTTTACAGGACAGTTACATGTTTTGCAGAAATCCTAAGATCTAATTATCAAAGGTGCTGCTCCTGTTCAACTCTAACTGAAGTCATAACCTTCCTGAAAATAGTCCTATAAATGATTTGCCAGGTTCTACCCAGATTTATCAGAAGAACTTTTATGGCAAAAAAAAAGAAGAAGGGATTGGTGGTGTGTGTGCTTAGGATGGTGCCAAAGGCCAAGAGTGTGGAGCAGCATGTGATTAACATCATTAGAGCATTTAATGCAGCATCAAAAGGAGTATTAGAGGGCAAATATAAAATTAATCATTCACTCCGAGCTGGAGATAACCCTGTAAAGAGATAGAGGAAAATAAAGGTAGGAGAGCTGAGGTGAATGTGTGTGGACACCTTGTTAAAAATCTGTGTATGTTGGGGAGTCTGTGACACTAAATAGATCATAAAACATGAAATAGTATTATTATCATTTAATCCAGCAGCCACGTTTTAATTTTATGCTTAAAATTAACTTATACCATTCAGAAAATATTGTCTGGCTTAGAATATTTTCAACTTTAAATAATCACTGAAGCATCATGATTAATTCTAGTCACTGTGTTTAAAATATCACTAGTTTTAAAGTATATTTTTCTATACTAGTATCCGAAAACTTATCTCTTTCAGCTGGCCTGAATAACACATTTTCAATCTTGTTCACCATGTAGTTTCTGGGAGGCTTTTAAGTTTTGTTTTGATTTGCACTGCAAGGAACTCTGAGACTCAAATATGAAATTTCTGAAGAATCAATCTAAGAACTGATCTTATTTGATGTTTTCTCTAGTCCTCTGGAGAAAAAATGAGAGGATGCTGATGGAAGTGGTTGAAAAAATGGGAGCTATTGTGAAAAGAGGAGGGCAGCAATATCACAGAGAAGTTCTTGAATGACATTTGACAAAAACCAGCACGCGGTGTTTAGCACCCGAGAGGATGAAGTGCAGAGTTCCACAGTGAAGGATGAACAATTTAAAAAGGAACAAATTGAAAGGCTTTATCAGGTGGCCGTGATTGATCAATATGTTGGTGCATCACTCAGACTGGGACAGGCATAGGAGATGAACTCTAGGGATCGTAGGGAAGGGGAGATGGGAATAGAGAGCAAAAGAATATTATCAAATATTGTAAGTGATCAATTTACTGTGGTTTCATAAATTGCCGCTCACCAGCTTCGTTGCAGGAATGTACCACATGGATTTCCTTCTTCCTCTGGTGGATTGTACAGGGTTTAAACTGCCTTGTGTGTGGTGATGACCCACAAAGACCTTCTCAGACATGGACCCTGGACCATCCCACCCTGACTGTTTACAGGTATCAGTTTTGGGACATAATCAAGCTCATCCCATCGTTTACCATGTTCATTCCTATCTTTACTTTTTGAAATGAACCACCCAGGGCCCAAACTAAATGTTTCTGATGTTTTCACCTTTCATTAATCAACCTCTAATCTTACAAAGAGACACCTCATTAGTTGGGCAATGATCTAATCTTTATAAACCTGAGTTTGATTGGCATTAATTACACTTCTCTTAGTTCTGTGCTTAATGAGCTCTGCCTCAGTCATTCCATTACTTGGCCTGGAATCATTGTCAGAATGATAATTATATAATTACTTTGTCATTCTGTTTTTCTCTTGTATATGTAGACAAAACATTGCACTTCTTTCACTAATCCAGAAAATTCCTTGTTCTTGAATAGACATTGAAAGTCACTGATCATAAATAACACTTGTTTGAAACCTATGGAAGGAGCCTGTGTTGGCCCTCCTCGTTTATGATGCCTGTATTTAATAACTTGGCATCTTAATTTTTGAAAAGAAAGTGACTCATCATCTCATGGACAGAATAAATTAATTGGCTTTTGGCAAAACAACAGGTGAGTTACCATGCAGTGAATTACCAGTGTTATTTTTTCTGCTTTTTTTTGTCTAGTGATGGATAAATCCCATTGCTGTCATTCCCTACATCTCTGATGTGTGTTACAGAGTTTTCTGAACTTTGAGAAAGATATTGTAGTTCTATTTATTTATTTTTTTTTAAGCAGATGGTCAGAGGCTTAACCCTCTGACCCTTTTCTGTCAGCTTTCCACACTTTCCAGTTTCTACTTCAGAGTCATTACACCAGTTCCCAGTTTCTTCTCAGAGTCCTGGATGCTGTATAACTGCTTTTACTTCCCAGACTTCTTTCCATATAATCTTTTTCAGATTTGGTTGTATTTTATGGCCTCTTTTCTTCATTGTAGGAGACACTTGTAACTTCAGCCTAAAGAAGTTAATCACAAGTGAAGCTTACAGTTAATGGGCATAATGGGCAGAGGCAGAACCCTGAGTGTCTCCCAGGTTTGCCTTGCTCCAGGTCTGTCCTCATTCCTTTGTGCACAGCAGAGAAAGGAGTTGAAAAGAACATGACACATGCACAGTGCACAGCCAGTGCCATCACCCTCCTGGACAAAAGCTGCCAAGGGAAAGAGCCTCTTTCAGTCCCTTTTCTCACTCTTTTGTTCATTAGTCACAGCTCTGACAAGCTGCTCGCTCTCTCCAAAACTCCATCTCCGCACGAGGAGGCAAAAAGTTGAGGCAAAAAGTTGCTCAAAGACTCAGCAGTGATAACGCTGCCATTCTGAGTGGTGGGACAATCCCACCTCCTCCCAAAACACCCTGTCAGCTCAGCCACATTCAGGTGTTCAACCCCCCCCCAAAATACAGCCAGTCAAAGAAACTGGTCGATAAAATGCCCCAAACCCAAGTTCGTTTGACATCAAAGGCTGAGCTCCTGCATCTTCCAGGACAGTTCCGTGTGTCTCGCCCACATGCTGCTCCTGCCACTTGCTGGTTGCCTGTCCCTGGCTCTGCAGTGCTGCTCTGACTCAATATTGATGACCTTGAAACTTCAAAAAACCCCCAGACTTTATAGCCTTTCTGAATGGTTATAACTTGGTTTTCAGTGCATGTAATAGAGCCAGATTTTGGCTATGTAAATTCTGCGGTCCCAAAACCACTTGAGTGAGGATCCACATTTAGGAGATAGTGGTTTTTTGATATCCTTTGGCAATTTTATTTTATGAGGATCCTTTTTCCCTTGATATTTTTTTTTCCCCACTGTTTATGTGATGCAGTGGAGGAGGCAGAAGTGGTGTGAAAAGAGAAGGTAATGCCTGGTAAAATGGAGAGAGTTCGGTGATTCTGTGAAACAGGAAAGATTGCCTTGGAAAATTCACAAACTAATCAGAGCTCAGGGACACACACAGTGTTTTATTAAACTGGAAACACCTTCCTGTAGAACACGAACACTAAACCAAAAGAAACCTTGTGCTCCAGTGATCAGCTATTAGAGTGTGTAAATCCAGGATCCTGGATGTGCAAAACATTGTTAGCAAACACTTCTGTGGGGTTTTCTGTAGCAATGCAAGAAGGCTTGAAAAATGATGAGTCTCTGTTAGCTAATAAAGGATTTATTGCCATATTTTTTATGGATTCCAGTTGCATGAGATTAGATATTCATGTGCTGGTGTCACTGTCAGTACCAGTGTGGGTTCTTACACCCATCAACAAAGTTCCTCGGCAAACAATCCTCAAACCATTGGGGTGGGATTTGGATTTGATGTCCTGCTCCAAGCTCCGATATTTCAGTAGTTATTTTTAGTTTGGAAACATAAAAATCCCTACTTGTGATTCCAAGGCAAAGAAGGTGTTTCTGGAACAAAACTCTCAGTGCTGTTGTGCTGAGCACCTTTGAGCTGAAGGAGTGTTATATTTTAACGTCCCATTTTATTGTTGTTGTGTAGGGCAGATGGACTCACCCTGTGGACTCTCCTCTTTCAGGGTTTGCCTTGACTTGGGATCCTCCCACACCACAAACTGACCAAGCAAACCATAATAACTTTCTTCATAGAGTGTTCCCTTTTCAGGGTAATCCTGATCATTGAATCCTACCAGTGTTTTCCACGAGAAATGAAAGAATGGTCAGTGTCATTAAAATCTGAGAATATCGACATCAGGACTGCAATAAGCCACAAAACTAAAACTGGGGGCTCCTGGTCCTCTGTTTCTATCCTTGACCTTGCAAATATCAGTTAAAGTGCTGTGCTTATGAACATACCTATTTATGTCATTTCAAACTGCATTAGAATTTAATGAAATCTGATGGACTCATTTATTTTTTTATGTGTTTGCTGTGTATCTAATGCCATCTTAACCAATTTTACCCTCAGACTGAATGGGTGATACAGTTAAGTGACCATGAGGTGTGACTTTGTGCCGCAGCACAATTCATTTTTGTCTCACTGCTGCTGAAGTTTGATGTGTAAAGGCTTAAATATAGCCTTGCAACTGTAATGCACTGAGGATGGACAATGTAATCCTATTTGTTATGTTAAAATAGATAACCATGAAATCCAATATGCGTCCTGATGAATTTATTATTTTTAAAATTTCACACAGTGCCCTAGTTTTAGCTTACAGTTTTAGCAGCAGATACAGGAATTTAGTTATCAGTCCTCAGTTCCTTGCAAAGTATTTGTCCAGGAGAGGGGGAGAAGTGCAGCCACAACATCATATCATTTATTAGACTTTGGACAACAGTAGCTTGGATGTTGACTCTATTTAAAGACACCTTATGTGTCCATGCTCTTAAGATGAAAGTTCATTAATTATATTGTAAACCGAGCTTCGATATTTTGGAAATCTAGTCTGGGGATTTTTTTTGTGCACCACAGATGGATTATTTCAGGATCTGTTTCAGCCCAAAGCTGTACAACAGTAAATCAGCATTTCCACAGACATTTCTTGATGTCATCTGCTGCACTTGCTGTTTTAGCACATGAATCAAAGGTGTTGCACTGCAACAACTCAGACTCCTTCAGCTAAAAACTAATATACTGAAGACAGGGGAGAAAACAAAGAGGAAATGGGGATGAATTGGGCTGGAACAGCAGAACTCCTGACTCTGTGTTTCCAACTCTGATCCCTTCTGGCAGAAGTCTTCCGTATTTCCAAGTTGCACTTCAATTTTTAACTCCTGCAAGTGCAGAACAGGGTTGCAATGGATTGAACAGCCCTTGTGAGCATCATTATATGGCTGCTGAACCAGATTCCCCCTCTGCAAAGGAAGGTTAGAGCTGCAACCAATCCAAAATTGCTGAGCCTTCTCTACATCCTCTTTATCTGAAATGTTCTTTTCAGTGCTACTGTTCTCTCTTCCACAGTCTGCAAGGCCTAAATCTGTCTTTAATTTCCCTTAAAAATGTCAGTTTGGGTATTTCTCTCTCCCTTCTCACCATATCCATGATGCTTTTTCTTCTTTTGAAAAGGTTCTGCGTCATTCTTTCATGCTGAGGTTTTGTAATTCTTTCCCATTTACATTTCTCTCTTTCAGGTCAATCTCCACTTATTTGAACAGCAGCTCCCCATAAAATCCTAGTGCAGCCCTCTCTACGTGCAGGTAAAAGAATTTATCATTCTAATACACTTGAAAAACACTTTTATTTTGTAATTATTTGTTTCAACACTGTCACTTCTCAAAAAATCTGTATGAATATACAGGTTGCTAATGGATAATGTTTATGAATTATCCTCAATTTCCCGTGTACTAAGCCAAGTCCAATTTACTTAATTATTGGTTAAATCTAATTCTGACTGTGCTACATTTAAAAAGAAAGAAGAAACCGAGACTTTGATTAAACTTTTGTAATCACTAATTGCCAGCCAAAGAGAAGTAAAATTCAGTGTGGGAAAAGTAACAAATTGGATTTTGCTCTGATGGTTTTCTTGTGTGGCGCATGCTTAATACTGTGAAATCACTATGAAATTGCCATTATTATTCTTCAATACAGAAGTTCTTTAATGCAATCTTTGCAGGTAATTTACTCCAGAGAACAAGTAGGTGTTAGAACATGATAAAATGAAATTTCTGTAAAAAACCCCTGTTTCCTGTTCCAGGCCAACCTTGTATTCCTGAGGGTTAACATGGAATTTAAGGTTTGGGGTTTCTTATTTTAAATAAAAGTGTACTTGACCATCATACCAAGAAAAAAATAGCAGCAGCAATGTGTATGGAATTATCTTCATTTTGCTGGGGATGCAGTAGCTTTTAACTCACACTGGAGCTGCTTTTTGAATCAGGTAATTTCCATTTAAATAAAGGTAAACTATTTCTTATACATTGCTAAATGTGAACCGACAGTGGGAATGAAAAGGACAATCTTACTAATCCTTGTGTTGGGCTTGAAGCTGCTTGAGAAATTAAGGAAATCCAGAATGGATTATCTGTATCTGTAAAGAAAATCAACTTGTCTTTTAGACTACAAGAGGAGAGATTTAGATAAGATGTTGGGAATAAATTCTTTACTCAGAGGGAAGTGAGGCCCTGGCACAGGGATGGAACTGGATGATCTTTAAGGTCTCTTCCAGCCCAAGCCATTCTGTGATTCTCTGAAAATCAAAATTAAGTGCATCTTCACCAAATGTGAGCTCCCAGCTCACTGTGACACCTCACCAAAGCTGCCTCTGTGTTGTATCACTCTGGGATGTTTGACTGGTGCAATCTGTAGGCCTGCACTAGCTAAAAAAATATTGTTCTTTCTGCTGGTCAGAAGTACAGCATTCTTAAGAAAAATTACTAGTATTTTAATTTCACTGTAAATTAAACAAGATTTGATCCAGATTTTGCATTAAGTTGCAACTGTCCTACTAAAATCAAAGGAATTGCAGCAGAGCAAAAACAAAATGGGGAAACAAGCCCACAGAAAGGTAAAAAAAAAAGTTTATATGAGCAAAAAGAGCAATATTTTGTGGTTATAAGAGAGCCCAGTGGGATAAGTATAAATTAGTAGACCTGAACATTAAATGAAATCCGAGGTGTCCCAGTGTTGTATCCTCAGAACTTCCCCAAAGGGGCTCTGCAGGTGCAGAAGGGTTTGGGCTCTTGGGAAGGGAATGGTGCTGCTGGGGGAGGAATCCCAGCTTCCCAAAAGCAGTGGGATGAGGGAAAGGGGAAATCCGGGTGAAAGACAGTTTTATTTGGATCTCAGGAGATAAAGTTGATCTAAGCTCCTCCTGGATCCTTCAGTCAGTGGGAGTGAAGCAGGACACAGGGCTCTCAGCAACCTGGGTCTGTCAGAGGCTTTAATCACACCCAGAGGAGTCATTTTCCTTCAGCCTTTTCCATGGATGCCTGGCAGAATCAGACATTTCCCTCTTTTGGGCACATTCCCTTTCCCAACCTTTTGGAGGAGGTGGTTTGTGCCGAGGAATGTGCAGTACCCACTTCATCCTGCACTGTTTACAGTTCATCCAGCACTGCTTTACAGTTCATCCTGCACTGCTTTCCCCTTTATCCTGCACTGCTTTCCCCTTTATCCTGCACTGCTTTCCCACTTCATCCTGCACTGCTTCTCACTTCATCCTGCACTGCTTTCCCACTTCGTCCTGCACTGCTTTCCCACTTCATCCTGCACTGTTCTCCCCATCCTGTGGGTTTTGCAGGTATCCTGTTTATTGCTGAGGTTATTAAATTGATATTTTATCCCGAGAGTGAGACAAGCACTTAGTGGGGCATATTTAATGAGCAGCTTTGCCGTAGGTACACGGGGAGGGAGATCACTCAACACCTCCTCGTAATTGCATCACTTGAGGGGGTACAGGTTGTATTTTTGGAACAGCACTTTGTAAGCCTTGCTGTGCATCCCTGGTGCTGGAAGGAGAAGCAGTGAAGAGGCTTCCTGCCTTTGCCAGTGCCCACACCAGCCATACCCAGCGGGGCAGGGGGCCTTGTGCCATCTTCCCTCCTCAAAAGTCACGACCTCAGGGGATTTTGGGTGGGAGCTGATTCAGGAGCAGCCCCTGTGCTCTGATGTGGTAGAGGGAGCAGAGTGAAAATGTGTTTCAGCTTTGCCCAGCACCTCCAGCCCACTTCACTCTGTGAAAGTGGTGCTTTGTAGACATTTCATGCAAATACTGCTTTTTTATCATGTAAATTTAGGCGAGTGGGGTGGTTTTTTCCATAAATAAACAGAAGCAGGTAGTGGTAGCTTTTTTTTTTGCCATAAATATAGGAAAGAAGTGGTGTCTTGCTGTAAATCCCTCTTTTGTACAGTGGGTTTGTTTCTGTGAGCTTCCAGCTGTGTGTGAGCTGTCCCATCCATGACCCCACTGCTCTCTGCCAGAAATCCTTTGGGAACAGTGCCCCGCAGTACCAGGGGTTGTGTGCTCACATGGGCAGGGCTCAGACTCAGCTGGGCTCTGGGGGACCCTCTGCCACTCTTACTTTATCCTTTCTCCTGTACCTGTGGATATGCTCATGAATTATTTACCCACCTCTAATACTTTAAATTCCTTAAGTCTCAGCCTGTCTGATATTTGGGGCTGAGGATGTCACAGGTCTCTGCTGTCACGTTTGTGTGCTGAGGCACATCTCCATTTACCTCTCCTGCCTTTGGTATCTTCCTGCAAGTTTCAATACCTTTGACTTTTCTTCCCCTTTCTCTCTTCCCTTTGTCCTCTCAATTCCCTCTTCTCCATCCACAGCAAAATTCAACTTAAAAGTCCAAGCATTAGGGGGGATGGCTGGGCAGGAGGATTCCTCAGGGATCTGAGTTGAGGTGCAGTGCTAAGAAAAGAGAGGGAAGAATATGTTGCTATTTCTGCCTTCTTGTGCTTTATCTTTAAAAATTCACCAACAAACCAACCTTTGGTTCTGTTGAAACAACACCCTGTTCTTTCTGGAGTGATTTAAACGTGAGAAGAAGAGAAAAATATCTCTTTGTGGATTTTAGAAGTTGTGAAACTAAAATAAACAATGGAATTTCTGCAGCTTTGGCATTATTGATAATTTGCTTCTCCAGCCCAAAGCGAGGTTGAAAACAGTCAAATTTAAATTTCCCAAGGGCTACTTGGTGAGAAGAAATACTCCAGTTTCTATTTTGGTTTGTTGCATGATTAGTGCTTTTTCAATAGAAGTATCAAATTTTTATCACACTCATGGATGTGTGTCTATTCCTGTACCTGTTCACTTTAATACACTTCAGCAGAAGATATTTATATCTCTAAGGTGATTTTCAGCTGCTGTAGTACTTGCAGATGCAACAACAAAATCGTATGATTTAGAGACACAAGTTCAGTTTAAATAAACCCCAAAGTTACCAAGTGTCTGCTACCTTGTAACAGTCCTCTGAAGTGATTTATATTTTCCATGTTTACTCAGAAAAAAAAAAAAAAAAGCTGAAAGGAACGTGGTAGGAGATTTTATTTCAGTCTTTCTAATGATTCATAATTAACTTTGAGGGAAAATGATATTTTTAACTCCAGATTTGCATCGCACGTCAAAACCGATCACTTAGTCATGGTAGAGCTCTATTATGAAAATTCCACAAAGACAGTGGCTGTTTTTGTTCCCTGCTTTTCTGGACCTGACTCCAGGGATGGGAAGAGGGGATGGAAGCAGTGACTGCCCTGCAGCAGAGGCACGTGGTTGGTGTGCACTGGTGGAGAGGGATGAGGGTGTGGAGATGGGAAAAGGAGCAGAGTTCAGCCTTGAATTCTTTATTATTTGACAGTTATATGAGCAAACACAAGACATGTTCATTCTCTGTGCTTTAATAGCAAAATCTACAGGAAAGAACATTAAAAAAACCAAGTAAATTAGTCTGAATCCCATAGACAGGCATCTAATAGGGCAGAGTTAGGTTGGATCTCAGGCAAAGGTTCTTCCCCCAGAGGGTGGTTGGCACTGCCCAGGCTCCTCAGGGCAGTGGGCACAGCCCCAAGGCTACCAGAGCTCCAGGAGGGTTTGGATGATCCTCTCAGGTACATGGTGGGATTTTGGGGTGTCTTGTGCAGGGCCAGGAGTTGGAATTGATGATCCTTGTGAATCCCTTCCCACTCAAGATGTTCTGTGATTCTCTGTTTCTAACAGTTTAGGTTTTGGTTTCATCTCTTTGCTGCAGATCTGATGCTGAGAACCACAGAGTTCTTCCACCAGGACAAGGAGTGAAAAGTGGATCCTCCTGGTGTTTGATTTCCTTTTCCCAAACGTGCCCAAACCTTACCAAAGGTATAAGGTATCTATATTTCTATCTGTCTATAAAATAACCACTGTTTCAGTGCCAAGGCAATCAGGTGCAGTCAGTCCCCTTTAGGTCAGGATGAGCTCAAATCCCGTTCTTAGAGGATGGGAGGGACATCTCCTGAATGTATCACACATTTGATTTATTGAACTCCACCAAAATGAAAAGACTGAGTCCAGAGGAAGAGTGCAGCAACACGGGCTTTAATCAAACCATCCCTCACTTCTGCTGGGGCTCACTTTGGGGTTTATTTTCTGAATGCAGATAGTGTGCAAAAATAATAAAAAGGATGTGTTATTTGAGACAGAACAGTTAAAAAATTTTAAATCCTCTCTGCATCGTTGTACACATTATTGTTGTTTTGAATATGACACAAGTG